GCATGGTTTGTGTGGCTTGCACATTCATCTGTTGGATTTTTTGTTTTTGACCTATTTCTTTAACCACTGAAAAAAGTGCACACTGGCTCCCTTGAGCATTTGCAACCTGCTTATAAACCACTTTTAACAAATAAAGCACATTACTGTTGCTTAATTAACTGGAAGGACTCACAAAGACCTTCGCCAAGCTTCTAGACTTATCTTGCAATTTTAAAGACCGCAATCCAGATCCACACCAAAATTTAAGGTGGACCTATAATGCTAATTTCCAGCTCCATATTTTTAATGGCTTTTTTCTTGTGCTCCACCTTATTTTAAAAAAATTGTAATACTGCAGACGGACAAACAAGCACAGACATAATTCCTTTCACTTATGCTCCACCTCCGTGAGGTGCAGTGTCCTGGGTTCATACCAGGGCAGGGCTCTTCTGCGCACTCCTCTAGGTGCTCTGGTTTCTTCCATCACTGAAACATTAATTCTCCTTTCATTGCACTGGTTTATAGCTGGAGTTGGCTGTATTGGCTGCATACTGCTCCTAATATTTCGGATGGCTTAAATGGAGAGAATGAATTTTCCTATGGGCTTTCAGAGGCATCTTAATCTTCTCTTCAAAGCGTTTCTTTTGTTTATAAAAGTGGTTAATCTAGCAAAATTCTTAATATCACTAGAACACATGATTGAGAGGCTTTTAGAAAAGTTTTTGTTGCTTAATGGTTATGTATTAAGATTTGACTTCCAGTCTACGTTGGAAATAAAGAGCAGCAAAGAAAAGCCATCATCCTTCTGGTCCCTGACTACTTTATCATAAAATTTTAATGAAGGTCTCACATCTGCGCTGTCACAGTCTGTCTTTCTTTGTATGATTCATCATCTTCTTTTCAGTTTTTTGTTATTTTTCTCACTTTTTTTCTGGCTCCTCATATCTCAGCTGGGCCCGTTTGCCTGACCTATGACCAGCGGCGTGCTCGTCTCTTATCCCTCTGAAGACAGTCACGTTACTGCATCACGTTGTGTAACACGGCAACCTGCCAGCCGAGGGTTTTCCCTCTTCTTTTGCTTTGTAAGGGATTATCCACAGCTCCCCTCGTAAGGCCTGAGCCCTCAATCCCATCACTCTGTTTCATCATCCCAGAGTCTGGCTCTCTTAGTCAGATGATGTAATAATCGAGTGGAAGGATGGCATGGAGAGACAGACATTGTGGTTCTGTCAAGATGCTCTGCAGATGAGTAACTGCAGTGCTCACGTTGCTGCCGGCATTTCTGGAATGTGTTGATTTGATTGGGAAACGCTCCCTAAATGAGGAATGTGTGCTGAATCTTTTCATTTTGCTGAGTGTTTGGGGGTTTTGAGAAATCAGGCAGGCAGGTACATATTGATCAGTTTTCAAAATGTAGCCGAGGGAATTATTATACTGTTATTTTTATTTGAAGTAACTGTTAACCTTGTCAGAAAATCAACATAGTATAGATGAGCAGCATACTGCTGTATTTATAACGGGTGAGCTGAAAGCCTCTGAGAAGATCAGATACATCACGTGAATTATTGGCTATGGGAATGAGACTTTAAAAAATTACACATAAATCTGGATTATCAGCAGTCAGTTTTTATTATTGAAAATGTTTCTGTTGAATAAAGTGTTTTAAAAAATAATAATTAATACCATATCCAAATGTTGTCATTATAGTTCAAGGAAATTTGCGATACTAATATTTATGACGATATAGAAAAAAATACTGAACAAGTTTCAGTAATGAGGGGCATTTTTCAACGAGCTGCTGTCAGTGATGACACACTACCGAAATTGAATTGCGAGTTTACTGAAACAGGGTGCCAGCAGCAGCATTGTAACACAGCACGAGTCAAATGGAAGTACAGGTGGTGTTTTCCCTGGAAATTTTAAGGAGACGTATAAAATAACAGCTTAACATGTTTCTTTTATAATAAGCAAAGTAACATAACTTTGTAACTCATCAAGAACCGAGCAATATGGTCATATTAAAAGTTTACTTGTATTTTCTTGCTAGTGTGCTGTATAAGTCCTGCTTTTCTTCCATGTAACACATCAGTCATTTCCACCCATTTGCTCTTCTCTCTTGGCTCTTGCTGTCAGACATGCCGAGGCTAGGAAACACAAACACATGGTGTTACTATAGCAGTGATATCACAATATGACACACGTCACATAAAAATATTCACAGGTATTATCACATACGATACGATATGGCACAGCTATAGTCATTACACTTTAGCTAGTCTTGGCGGTTTATCAAGACATTTAACTACTTTTTAACTGTTTTTCCAACCCATTGAATTGAGTTTTGTTTTTCCCAAAAAGATCTAGCAAAAAAGAAGAACTAAATCTCTGGGTAGTGACCTACTGCTTTGTAACTCAGCTGAGGAACAGCTCTCTCTGTGCCCTGTTTGTTGTGTGACTGAGCAGCAATGCTTCAGTGACAGAGAGCAGCAGTGCAGCGTGAGAGGGGAAAAAACACTGAAAAAGTTATGCACACCGGTCATCTATCGAGCCATCCTCTTAATTGCTTATCCATCTTAGTGCCATTAGGGGTGCTGGAGCCTATCCTTACTCAGCAATTACTCTAAGGGTCTCAGTAACAGTGGGCTGTAATTACCCATGCAAACACTGGGGAAAAAACACATATTTGCAAGAATCAACCACAACGACGCTACAAAATTCATGATTTCAAGTTAAACTTGGTCAGTCCTGTGAAGAGCTACTGCAGAAGTGTTCTGTATTTAGGAAGATCAAATTATTTCTTTATTAATTAACAAGTATCGACAACTACACACTTCAGCATATGATCAAAAACGTAACATCACTGTAAGAGTGGCAAGTTGTTTGATTTGCACTATTTATAATAAGGCTTTTAAACCTTCATATAGTACATTGAAGTAAAAGCATGCTACATAAGTGAAAGTTAAGTGCATCCTGTTAAGTGTTAGTTTGGCAGTTTAATAAAAAAAAAATCAAAAAGTGTCATTATGGACATCTCAGATTCTTTAAAAGAAGGTTAAAAGAACAGGAACACAACATTTACAACTGTGCTAAGAGACAAACATCTCAGTTTTAGTGTCATTCCTGTGCAGCGTGCTGTTTGTATTTAGATTGACTGAGTCACTTCTAGGCCACAAACACAGTGGAAACCATGTTACGTGTTCACAAGCACTAATATAACTGAAATAATCATCACAGGACTAAATTAGTGATTTGAAGTTAAACATGAACAGTGCCTTTTCACTTGGCTTTCCAGACATGTTCCAAAAACATCTCAATTATTCTACGAAACGAGTATCCACAAAAAAAGGACAGATAACAAAGTATAAGCAAGTAAACGTTAAGCGCTCATACTTGTTGGTCAAAGTTTGTATCATTTGCTGCTGATTACTAGCAAAAATGTAAAAGACAGATGTCAGAAAATATATGTCGTGTTCGCTTAACAACAGTAAACAATAAAAAAAATAGAAACAAAAAAAAACAAAACTAAAGTGAAGTTAACAGTTTAAGCCATCACTGACGGAAACCCAGTGCTCCCAGTATTTCCCAGGACTCCCAGGACAGTTTTGGTTCAGATAATTTTCAGGTTCCTCCAGTGCCTGGCCCAGCTTTGAGTTCTTAAGTGCTTTCAACTCCAGCCAAGGAATTAAAGATTTTAATTCCCTCTAATTGGAGAAATCTTATTCGCAGCTTCAGCAGCCACCTGATTGCACAGTCATATGATCTGCACACATGACACACACACACGACCTTTTGTAAATGGCTAGATTAGTTCTAGTGTTGCATAAGGCCTGCAGTTTGACAAATGTCATTGAGTTCAGTGTAATGGTGTAACTTTGACACAGAAGCTAAACAAAATGCAGTCTGCTGTAATTGTACCGGTTGTTCTCAATGCTAATGGAGTAGTCAGCATTCTGAGCTGTGATAATCTACCTCACTATTGTTCAGCATTTATTAGCTTTAAGTTCAACCTCGGGTTTTTACTTTCAGCCATGATGGCAGAGCAGTGCCCACTAATGCAAAGCTCACTCTTTTTCAGTTCAGCCCTCGTACCTGTCCATTTTCAGTGAAATGTTTTTTGTTTGTTAAGCCCCTTAACACTGACCTATGAGTCATTGCAGCATAAAAATGGCTCCTATCACAAGGGATGAACCAGTGTTCTAGTCACACATAATTGACAACTTCACAAAAAAACATTTTAAATGGTATTTTTTAGGCCCTTCTTTATAGATTAAAAAAAAAGTAATGTGTATGTAGTGGTATGTCCACCTTTTTATACAATCTATGGATAGATGGTTGCTTTTTCAGCATTCATTACAAAATGAAATCCATTCATAGTACTCACAGTATTAAATCATTCCTCTGTCAATTATAGGTACTTGAAAAAGTTTAGGATTTATTGAGGGGAAGCAGATGAACTCTGGGACATGTGCTGCAGTAAAACTAGTCTAGTGGCACTGCTGGAAAAGGGAAGTGTCTGACAAAGAATCGAATTTAGCCGTTTCCTAACCTGCCACCATCCCATCAGTCTTGGGATCCTGGTTGTAGCTAATGTCGTGTCGTGTGCTGCCTCCTTCAGTTTTCTCACTTAATACATACAAAAATAGTGCAAATTTGTGACTTCTTCCTGCTTTGTGCTACTTGTGAGAGAGAGGAACTACAAAATATCCAACCAGATTTTCTCAAACACGTGCACAGTTCATGTTTTAGCTCAGTTTTGGTCACATTAAAAAACTTCCAAAGCACCAGACAGCACACAGTCGAAGATGGGAGCTTTTGATGGCCTTCAAAAGAGATTGAGACCAAAACAAAGCAGAAAAGATGCATGAATGTTGGAGTTGATTTATCTGAACTGACTCCAGTGAGATGACGAGGCTGCTTTGTGTCTGCTGGATGTTGTTCAACTCTAAAAGTAGTTTTGATGTTCGGCCAAAACTTGCACACATTTAAAGTTCGAGCTCTCTGCTTCTCTCTGTTCCTTTCAGCCATCATGTACGTGATGGGAGCGCTGGGCCCAGCAGCTGGCTACCTGCTGGGTGGAGTCCTCATCGGCTTTTACGTGGACCCCAAGACTGTTGTCAACATCGACCAGAGTGATCCCCGCTTCATTGGAAACTGGTGAGAAGAGTCTGCCATGAGCCCATCGAAATGTAAAATATGTGTGTATGTTGAAGTTGGTGGGTTTTTTTATATAAATTTCCATTAAAGCAAATACACTCTGTGAGTATCACTACTATTACCAACACAGTAAGTTAACCATTTGTGTCTTCAGTGTGATTCACTGGGTTTAGTGCTGAAGCTCACAAACGGGGCACTGAAGAGTATCCTTCGAGTTTTTATCCCCAGTTTCTCAGAGTGTTAGTGGTAAATAAACTGTATTACTTAAGTTTCAGTTCATTAACACAGTACAGTTCAGTAGTATCTTTCTTGGTGAAAGTGCTAGAAACACACTTTAGTTGGTACCTGGGGTGGATTCTAAGTTAACCCTTTGGTGATATTCAATGGCTCTGCCTCGGAGACGAGCAGGATTATGCATCTAGATGCCTTTTTCAAAAATTTAATAAAAAGTTAAATTGTTTTGAGGTTCCATTTTGACCAATACTTTCCTCCTTTTCTCCAAATATAGCCAAATTAACGTGGCTGGTGAATGCTGCGCCGACTAAAAATGGAAACCAGAGAGTAAATACAGATTATAAATGTACATGTATCAGAAACGAGTCTAAAGAGATTTAATTCTCCAAGTCTCAAAACTTTGAAAGATCCAGTATTTACAAATTTTGGTTCTATTTGAAGTGGTGATGGTGGAGTTATGTATAAATTAGGGGTGCAACGATACTCGTATCGATATTGAACCGTTCGATACAGTGCTTTCGGTTCGGTACGCATATGTATCTAACAATACAAAATTTGTAATTTATTTTATCAACTTTCCTTCTGACGATGCTGTCTGTGTGGAGCGCTCAGTGAATCTGTGTTCGACTACTCCGCCTAGGCTGCACTGTCGAGCGCAGATCTACTGAGCGCTCCACACAGACAGCATCCTCAGAAGGAAGAGCGCAGGGCAAGCTAGCGAGACAGAAGTTAAGCTCTCCTTGCAACATGGCAAATTGAACCTCCCCCACCCTCATTCAGATCTGGCGTTTGGAATTATTTTGGTTTTCATGTGACGTATGACCCTGAAGGTAAGCGCGTCATGGACTAAAGTAAAACAGTATGTTGGATGTGCCACGCAATGCTCAATTACATGGGTGGGAACTAGTGTGCTAGCGCAGTTAGCTCGTTAACGTGTTGGCCGTCTAGCCCCACGCACAGGGCGATCAGGGGTAGCTTGTTAACGGAGATTTGCCGTGTTGTGGCGTTAACGTCATTTCAACGAGATTAACGCTGACAGCACTAGTGGGAACACAACGAATATGACTGCACATTTACGCCGACATCATCCTAGTGCAAAGATAAGTGGAAGCAGACAAAAACAACGAGCATGCATGCTACAAACTTTACCCGAGTCATTTAGACAGCCGTTAGCACATGATTCTCCTTATGGGGACCTGATATGTTTAATATTGTGGCGAGCTCAGACAAGGGGTCCGTTCTTCGTACCTCGCTTACTACATCCAAGATCAAATGAAACATCCAAGACCAAATCATTGCGCTAACCGTGAGCCCGCTAATCCGGTTCCCCGAACACACCTGCCGTTGACGATTAGTACAGCTGGACGCAGTAATGTGACATCACTGGGTGGCCCAACAGGGGCTACGCATCGATAGTAGAAACACTGATCGGCAACCCTTTAATTGGTCGGCGAAAATGTCGAAGGAGCGCGCTCGGTATTTTTCGGCAGCAGAGCAAGAACTCTTGAGTGAGGGATTTCAGGAGTTTCAGAGTTTAATCAGAACGCAAGGGAACACTGCAAAGGCTGCAAAAGCAAGGAGCGAGGGCTGGCAGAAAGTTGCTGACAAATTAAACTCGTAAGTAATGTAATAATAACAATAATAATGGAGTGGATTTATATAGCGCTTTTCAAGGCACCCAAAGCGCATGACAATGCCACTATTCAGTCACTCTCACATTCACACACTGGTGGAAGCAGCTACGGTTGTAGCCACAGCTGCCCTGGGGCAGACTGACAGAAGCCAGGCTGCCATATTGCGCCATCGGCCCCTCTGGCCAACACCAGTAGGTGGTAGGGTAGATTTATCATATCACACCATATTATCCAATATTATATTACATTATATTATATTATAATATGTTATATTGTATCCCCTTTCACATTAGAGCCACAACAGGACCCACTAGAACATGGGAACAAGTAAAAGTGAAATATAGGAATATTCTACAGAATGGTAATATTTATCACTTATATTGCTTTTCGTCTCTTGGACAGAGACCCTGAAATAATCTGTTTGTTAGTTTATAACAGCAACCAAGAAAAGGGCAGAGCAAACAAAGACAGGTGGTGGTCCTGCACCCCCTCGTCAACAAGTTGGTTAAGTGAATAATACCCTCACGGGAATATCGATATCTCTCTATGAGCACACTGTCGCGTGTCGTGAGCTAAAGGATCCTGTCTATCCCGCAATATACGCTGAATTCTGAGGACTCTCCTTATCAATCTTGCACCTTCCGCAATGGGTGGCTCGCGTAAATGGACAGGACATGGCTGCGACAGGCTTCCCAAATCCACCTTCGCTTTTATAGCCGTGGTCTCTCATCTTGATTACACGAAGTAATTTGCAATTACTACTCTGAAATATGAATTACATCTGTAATAATCACATACATGTAATAGAATGTTAATAGTACATTTCCCTTTTTTAGGAAATGACCTGTATGTATCTGTGTGACATCAATAAAAGGATCAAGTACTGCATTATCTTTAATTACATTGATAATATTTATTTATGGTGAAACAGTGGTAAAATATCGCTGTTGCTTTCGTATAAATGAAGCGGACATACCTGCGTGGCCGCGATCTAATCCTGTTTACATAAAGTAAACCTGCTCCCGAGCAGGTTTACGCTTACGGCTCTGTTGCTATGACAGCAAGTCCCGGATGAGCTTCGGGGAACCTAACGATCCAGGATCACGCGAAATCGTCAACAATCAAATCCAGCTAACTTACTTAGCGAGGTACCAAGAACGGACCCAAGGTGGAGACGGAGGTGTCGTTTGGTCTTGCTTTCCGTGAGCTAGCCAGGGAGCACAGCCGTTTATTGACATCTGCAGAAGAACACTGCCGCTAGCTAACTGCTCAGCGCGGCAACCACACAGCAACAACAACAACACACAGGGCGCCCTCTGACCCCGGAAGGACACACCGTCGCAGCGAGAGGGTGTCACCCGTCACTATGGCAACATAAACAAAACATAACTGTACAAACAGAACCCCGAACAGCCCTGACCCGCTACATAGCCCCCACCTAAGGGGTCAGTCGTCCCCGACGACCCCATTACCCCACACAAAGTCCTGCAAATGTCCAGGTGCCTTCTTTTGGCGCACCGGCCGGTCACGACCGGCGGGGGAAAAGTCACTCGGGTCAGAACATGGGGTGCCACCATCATCCCACTTCTGACACCAATGTGGCGAGCTCAGACAAGGAGGAGACGGAGGTGTCGTTTGGTCTTGCTTCCCGTGAGCTAGCCAGGGAGCACAGCCGTTTATTGACATCTGCAGAAGAACACTGCCGCTAGCTAACTGCTCAGCGCGGCAACCACACAGCAGCAACAACAACAACAACAACACACAGGGCGCCCTCTGACCCCGGAAGGACACACCGTCGCAGCGAGAGGGCGTCACCCGTCACTATGGCAACATAAACAAAACATAACTGTACAAACAGAACCCCGAACAGCCCTGACCCGCTACAATATGCTGCTGAGAATATAGCCCAGAAGAAGCGGATAGTATAGCTTTTATTTTGGAAAGAGCCATTTCTCTGTAATAAACTCTCTTTTCCAAAGATGAGTGATTCCTCAATCAGATACAGGGCTCGCAAAATCGCTAGCCCGACGTCCCGGTGCTAGCGATTTTTCTAGTCGGGCTACCAAAATCTACCTCTGCCCTGCCCGTCGGGCTATTGTAGGAAGGAAAATATATGTCAATGCTTTTGCATTCTTTCGGAAATGTAGCTGGGTAATTATGTCATTGGCATCGATGAGCCACTGTCAATATGTGACATATTGAAGTCGCGTTTGAATTTGCGCTTGTTTTTTGCTTTCACTTTGCAATCGCACGAACTGTGTATAGAGAGCGACAGCACTGATTGGTGAGTGATGATAATTTGTGCACCAATTCCTCTGACATGGTATTATCAATCGTTAGCTTACTATGCAAACATGACAAGTGAAATCTCCCGCAGCAAGCTTAAACATGTGAGAGGTTGATCGCGCAGAGAATAGCTGACCATTATGTATGTGTGTGTGTGTGTGTGTGTGTGTGTGTGTGTGTGTGTGTGTGTGTGTGTGTGTGTGTGTGTGTGTGTGTGTGTGTGTGTATGTAAAAGCAGCAGGATATATATTTCAGTTCTGCTGAGCCAAATAAGACAGGTCAGGGTGAAGAAGTGACAGCCAAAGAAAAGCTTAGCACAAAACGGAAAAGTTATGACAAATCAGACTATAAGGCAAAAAGAAAGTGCAGCTTTATGGTTTCATGGACAAAAGAATTTCTGTGGCTGCGATATGATGAGCTATATAACCGGGGCTGCACATAAGTGGTCCGCAGGTGCGCATTCGCTGTCAAAATAAAAAAAAATACGCGCACAAGATATGAAGTTGCAACGCGTGTTTGCATACATAAGATTTTCTGGAGGAGGACAGAAATTTGTTTAGAACTCTTAAAGATGTCGAAGAAGCTCCTTTAAGCAATTACTTTGGTGTTCCTCCACCTCCAAACAAATGTCAGAAGGAGTCCGAACCACAAAAGAAGCACGTATTCTCGGAAAAGTGGTTGCAGGAGGTGAGCTGGCTTCAAACAAATGATGAACGCACAGAGATGTGGTGCGGAATGTGCCGTGAAAATCCCACTCTAGCGGACAACAACAGTGCTTTTTATATGGACGCAAACGCGCGTTGCATCTTCTTATCTGGTGCGCGTCTTTTATTTTGACAGCGAATGCGCACATGCGGACCACTTACGTGCACCCGTGTAAATAACATAATGTTCTGCCAGGTGTGTTGTTGGTTTTCTCTCGATTTCTGAGTCGACAAGCGCCTTTGTTACTGGGACCAGTCATTTTAAGAAAGGCCCCCATTAGAACCCATGAGAAATGCAAGTAATGCATTATTGCTCAGTCTGCAATATCTTTCCCAGAACAAACACCAATTGCAAATAACATACTAAAAATAAACCTGAAAAATCTGTTTAGAACAGCGTACTATGTTGCAAAGAGTGAACTACCGCTGGCACAATTTAGCAGTCTTTGCAAACTTCAAAAAGCAAATCTTGGTTCCACTTGCCTCTTACCCGTGATTTCAGTGGAAATTTCAAATTCAGGATCTGACACAGACTGATTCATGTCCTACACAGTTCTTACAAGTTCATAGAAATTTCTGTTCAATTAGAACCAAGTATTTGAGTTGATGATTGTAATTTTTATACAATGTTGTAATTTGTTTTTCAACAATTTTTTGATTAATGTTTTGTTTCCTTTACAATATTATACTTTAATGTATAATATTGTAAAGGAAACAAAACATCAATCAAAAAATTGCTCTCTTTTTTTATTCGGGCTACTTAAATTTATTTTGGGCTACCAAAAACTGAAGAGTCCCTGCCTGAAGGGCTACCAGGGATTTTGAAATTTTGAGAGCCCTGAGATATATTTATTTTTTTAATTACTTTTGTTTCAGCAACATTAAATTTAAAAACTGTACTTTTGAGTTAAAATATATATTTATAATTTTAATAAATGACAAATTAAAAAGGCATGAACATTTTTTTGTATCGAAAAAATATCGAACCGTGACACCAAAGTATCGAACCGAACCGAACCGTGAATTTTGTGTATCGTTGCACCCCTAGTGTAAACGTATATCAGGAAAAGAAGCTCACATGCTTTCATTAATGAATGATTAGTTTTATTTATAGTTTTCTGTTCTGCAGATTTTTTTTATTTGCACTCTAATGAAAACAATTACATAATGGTACATTATAATCAGCTGCTTCTCCAATGGGTCTCTCAACTACATTCCTGCTCTGCAGCCTCTGAACTTGACGTAAGAGCTCATGAACCACCCGCTGCAGGTTCTGGTTAGAGTTCACTTCCACACCAGAATGAGCACTACTGCTGGCAGCTATGGTGGAGATCCTTGGAGTACATCTAACAAAGGTCATTGCAAAACTAAACTAGCTGGGGCTAGCTGCTTAGCAGCAACTCGGGTCTTTTACTAGTGAATTACAGCTGGCTTAAACTGGCCTCCTGCTGTGCAGAACACCATGATTTTCTTTTTTATGTATAAAAACTACAACAATTGGATGAATGTATCTTAATAACCTGCTATCACCCTTTCACTTGTTACACTTCTAAAAACATCTTGGAAAAAATGCAACTAAGTTAAAAAGGAAAAAAGAAACAGAAATGCTACAATTTAATACTTATGTCCACCAATTACAGAGTCGACCATTTATTTGCTGTATGTGACTCTAACAGTGTCGCATTCTTCCTGGTACAGGCTGTACTGCGGGAATATCTTGTTCTCACGGCTTCCCCGTACTGTGGGTGCAGAGATGCAACGAGACCAACGTAGCTGTGAGCGCATCTGTGATTAAATGAGTCGCAGGACGGACACACTTGGGCGGCTCTGTATGATAGACTGGGGCAGTAATAACAGACAGAGTGTACTTCACTCAACACCAAATAATAGGACTCTGTTAAAGTCTGGAGGGGTAGAATACACTTTGTCCCTGTTCGTCTCTGTGTTAAATGTGTGAGAAGAGAAGGAAACCTCTCCCAACACGGTCGCATCTGAAAACAAACTCCGGGTTTGAATCCTTCCAAACCAAGATGTGTTTGGTCCTTAGGTCACGTTTTCGCACATATCATCCATCTGAAAATCTGTTGTTGTGTGTGAGATGTGGTTAGTCATCTATTTAGAGCTCTCACTGATGCCTTCCTCTGACTGACAGCATAATCAGTGACTCACAAGCTAACAGCCACGAGCTTTCTACATGAATTATAGGTGATGATAGCAGGAAGATGATGGTGTACCAGTTTATGTGCATATTAATGAGGCACATGAGATAATACCAAGTCTGAGGTTGACTCTTTGGTAGCAAAAGGAGTAAAAACGGACTCAGAATTTAATAAAAACATGTGTTTTTAATATTTTACTTCAATAATCTCTGGGCTGTGTAGGTGGAGCGGGTTCCTGCTGTGCGCCATAGCCATGCTGCTGGTCATCTTCCCCATGTTCACCTTCCCCAAGAAACTGCCGCCCCGACACAAGAAGAAGAAGAGGAGGAAAAAGCTGAGTCTGGACGACCTGTCCAGTGACGACGACGTCCTCAAGGAGAAGAGCAACAACAAGACCCAGACGGTCACTTCGTCCATGGGCTTTGGCAAGGACATCAAAGGTACTGGAAAATCGATGATGTCAACTATTAGAGGAGTGTTTCCCAGAACTATGAGGGTGTGGGCTGTTTAAATATAACTCTTTAGTTCAATTTATTGACCTTAAAAGACGAGTTCAGACGGTCTTTCAAGTCTAATGAATGCAGAATCCAAGTCAGCCTCCTGTAATTGAATAACAGAGTAGAGGCTTATCGTGTAACTGCAGCTACCAGAGAAGAGAATAAAGCAGGAAGATTTCTACTATTAAGAGCCGTTTCTGAGAAATATGTTACCCTAAAAATCAGTTTGGGGCCACAAAACATATTTCAGCATTATAATGATTATTCACAGCTTATTGAGTATAAATAACCCTGTGAGCATGTCAGTAATTCATATCGTATACCACATGTTTCTACTCTGCAATCCACAAACTTTTTATTTTCATTAAAGTAACATTGGGGTTTTTTTGCATTTAGGAAACGTGACTAAACTAAAGAATTTGTCAGTTTTATTATGAAACAGTTGTAAAGTAGAGAGAAACAAAAACACCTGTTAGCATTTTTAGGCCTGCTTTGAAACAAAGTAGCTGTAACGCTAAGATGTCCCCTGTGAGTCCCAATTAACCACGTTAAAATTGTCCCAATTTAATAATTAGTAACAGGAACAGGATAATTAGGAGTAATTTTGACTGAAAGCATACTGCTAAGCCAGCAGTGTTGGTGGTCAAAGCAAACATGTAGATGTAGTTATATCACTGTTAAATTCTGACTTTCCTCCTTGACTTTCATTCTTTTGGATTTGGAATCTGTAGCTAGTCAGCAAAATTAAGAGAATAAGTAACCGGATGATACATGGAGGCAATGACACGCAAAATATTACAACTTTTTTTCCAGTACACAACAGTATCCAAAACAATAAATGATGAAATAATTTCCTTAATCACGATCATCTAGTTTTCTTTCAAAGCCACGCGGTTCCACTGAGAATGGGCTAAGAGCTTCAGTTTCGAGACGCCCGGGTTAAAGCAATAGCTACACTTTTAGTATAGAGAATAACTTCTACAATAGGATTTTAAAATAGGATGGGTACAGAGTAGAAGGATATAAAACCATCAGTTATATATCTCAGCACGCACAGCAACAAGTGAGGCAACAACAGATGGTTTAGAGCCGATCGTTGTCCACAAAAGTCCTGTTTTTGTTTCGTGTTGACCCTGCTGAAAGCCACAAGCCGAAACAATGAAATGACCACATACTACATTTGTTGCTGGACCTTTAATCTCTTCAGGATTGCAACTAAATAAAAATATACTTTTCGCTACATCGCGGTAGCATCTTTGATGATTTAAGCAGACTTCGGTGTTGCTCAGGCAGCTCCTCCTGAAAAGGTTTGACAGCAAAGTCAAGAGAACATGTTACGTGTTACTGCAAGCTTTTATTTTCTTCTGAGTGCTGCAAAGTTTGGAAAAAGAAGTCCAAATGGAGTTGGTTTCATTGCCCCTCTTCACAGCACTGATTTAGGAACATTTAGCCAAGGGGGTGGTTAAAGTTTTGATTTGAAGTGCCAAATTAAGGAAGTAGTATTGAAGGCTTCAATTTTAGCTGTTGTTCGTGATTGTGAGGATTTTTACAGGCAGCCCTTGACGGGCTAAATGGTTCTCTTACCCCCGTGTGAAATATTTCACATTTATTTACAGCCACTTTTTTCCCAGTTGAGTGGTTTTATTTATTTTGTGATAGTACAGCTCTGTTTGTTTTTTTGTCATATTTTCTGTACTCCTGAGAGTAGAAAAGCTACTCTAAACCTGTGTGCAGTGAACAGCGTGTGTGCAAATGTGTACAAATTTTGACAGCGTGCAGATTATGAGGACAGTTGAACTAGTCTGTCTCAGCCATCTGTAGTTCAGACTGAATCACAAACGGATTTGCAAAAATCAGAAGGGTTTATTTTCACTGTTGTGACGCTGACAGAAAAAAACCCCAAAAGCTTTACTTTGTGTTCATGTTTTTTTTCTTCACCCTCTTCCAGACCTACCTAAAGCCGCAGTGAGGATCCTCAGCAATGTGACCTTCTTGTTTGTCAGCCTGTCCTACACGGCAGAGAGCGCCATCGTAACTGCTTTCATCACTTTCATCCCTAAATTCATCGAGTCTCAGTTTGGGATCCCTGCCTCCAATGCTAGCATCTACACTGGTGAGTTAAATGTACACATTTTAAAGAGCATTTCGCCTCACCATCCCACCTCTGAAATCCTGCAAAGACTGAAAACTGGTCTCAATAAATCTGTTTTTTAAACTTAGAATTTATTTCTCATATTAAATGAAGCCTCCTGTGATTTTCCTGCAGACAGCATGCAGACAGACCAGAATATTCATACGACATCCAGGGCTTTAATTTGTGCAACTGCAGCGCTGGTTTTATCGGAGAGCAGAGCCAGAGAGGCTGTTACCCTAGCACTGCAAGCCAGCACATTAATAATAAAGAAACTGCTGTTCTTCAAATGAAGGGGGCACCTGGGACGCTGAGCTGGAGCACTGAGTGCATCACACACAAAACATTAAGAAACACACAAAGATACAAGCACATTAATGTCCTACATACACTCACAGTCACACGCCGATGCACATGCACACTTAAACGGGCATACAGGCTAATACTTTAGCTTAAACACAGAGCGTTTGAATGCTTGTTGTGCTGATTTTCTGTATTTGATCTGAACAACAACAATCTAGATGGATAAATAGCATTTCAATGTGTTAACGCATGGGTTTCTTTTTTGTGTGAACTGTCCCTTTAATTTGAAAATCCAACCTGAGGCGAATGCTGCCTTGTATCAGGCGATCCATATAGAAGTGTACAGTCCTGTTTAAAGCCATCCCGTTGTTGTGGCTGATAAATAAAGCAGCTGAAATGAACATGACACTCGGGGCTGACGACCTTTTTTAGTGGCTTTGGTTATTTTGGTAGACGAGAGCTGTTTGCAGTTGGACCACATGTGGAAGTCTGCGTAATGCTGTTGTTTATCAGGTTTGATGAACTCTGCACATATGAAATAGCTTGCAGGGTATACAAGTCTGTAAGAAGGAGTGCTTCAATTAGAGCAGGGGTGTCAAACATATGGAGGCTGGAACCTGTAAACTGAGAGCTGATTGGGACATACATTTGACATTAAATATATGTGCTGTGTATGTGTGGCCATTAATGTGACTCTTATTCACCACTGTGGGCCCTCATGAAACTGACTTGGACTATTTTAGGAACTGAAAAGTCAGAGTGAGGTCATTTATGATTCCATTTCATCCGAGATTTAGGAAGTTATTTTGTTACTGGAGAAAATATAAGGCTACTTACAGCTGCTCCCTTACTCATAGGGATAACTCGACAAAGTTAAAGTGTTTCAGAAAACATTCGTCCATTGATTCTTTTTTTGCTGCTTACATGAATCACAAGGGCGGCAGTCTAAGCAGAGATGCCCTAACTGGTCGCCTCCTCAGCCAGTCGTGTCCTGTCTCCAGATCTTCAGATTGTAAGGGACAAATTTATGATAGAAATTCTTTTTATAGTGAAAAATATCAGAACCGTACACACAGTGGAGTCAAAAATGACCCCACTCAGTCCCTCTAAATGATTCTCACTCTCTGTACGGATTATTCTTTGCTTTGAATTTATCATTTTAATAAAAAGAAAACGAGCAAAAAACAAAACAAGACTTTGCCCTTTTAAAAAATTGATTTTGATTGCTGTCGTCAAAGAACAGCACATCATTAGTCACACTTGTAGGTAACCATGAGTCATCTGAACTTTCCACACAAAAAACTCGATTACTGAAAGCGGAGTTTATAAACACCCAACAAACTACCGTAGTGTTTTTCACACTGGTTCTGCATTAATGTTGTTTATTCCTTTCATTCCTTTTAGCCACATTAGTATGATTTTTCTCCAGGAAATTACATCTTGTTATCAGAAATGTTTTAGTGTTTGAGTTGCATAACTGTCTCAGCTGTAGGCGGAGTGGGCTGTGAAGCCTGTGATTAGAACTGCCACTCATATATATTTTCAGAATATGCCATCCTCCGGTGAGTGAAATAAAATTATTTCTTGGGAACCTGCTCAAGAGTTTGTGAAGGTCCCAGGACCCCAATTTGGTATCCACAGCTGTTCACTTTAAGGTAGTGATGGGCAGATGAAGCCCCATGAAGCACTGAAGCTTTTCATCCAATTGGTTCACCCCAACGCGAAGCTTCATGAAGCTTCATTTGCTCTAGCAGGACACCTACTGGACGTAAAAATAATAGCTGGCATGAATTTGAAGAGTGTGGCATTTTGCACACAGCCTGTAAATGTCAACAACAAAAGGAGTGTGTAAAACATCTATATTGTAGTGATGGCAGTATACTGTGTATATTTATAGTGGCAGTATGGGAAATGATTATTTGGAAATGCTTGAAATGGAAATGATCATTTACTGTGAGGTGAGGTGTGGTTGGGGTGTGGACAGTAGTTGTGCTTTTGTAACGTTGAGGTATGGACAGCTACACACTGAGGCTTTGAGCCTCAGTCCTGCCTGTTCACATTTTATTCTGTAAAAACTAAATTTTCACTGCTTTTACGTCCTTTTTAGTGGGGAGAACATAGCTGGGATTTAATGATTTAACAAATCTTTTGAATCCTTTGTCCTCCACAATGCTAAATGGCTGTGAGTCCTCAATCACCATGCTGACCAGGTCTTCATCTATTTGAGATTGTTCTCCTGAGGAAAGACAATAAAGACAAAGCACAAATATAAATATCACACACGTAACTTATAACAGTTGTATAATATTGTTATATCATTTAGTAACATTACTGCATGCTATATTATCATTGCATTTGATGGCTCACCTGGTCTTGCTCCACAATCGGTGTTCCTCTTATTCTCATGCAAAGCTCTGTAGTGCCTAAGCATGGATGAGGTGTTGTTGTTATATCCCAGCTCCCTGGCACATAGCAAACACTTCACCTTGTACAAAAGTCAAGACAGCTCAACATAAATTGTATTGCACCATCAGTATTATGAAAATACATCTTCTGTAGAAATTTACATACCTTGTTGGGAGGAATAAGATCAAAATGTTCCCACACAGGGGAGGACATCCTCCTCTTCTTAGCTGGCTCCATTCTCTCCTGACTTTCTCTCCTCACTCTCATAAACCTCCAAACTGTCTCCAAACTCTCACTAACCGCAACTCTCCATCAAACACCCACATTTTGAATGAAGTCTGAGGGTTTATATCGCTGTCATATCTCGCGGCAAAGTTCGAACCACTTCATGAACCAGTCACGTGGTACAGCCGGGCAGCGAGGCTTCGGACGTCATCATTTTCAGCTCCTCCCATAAATGAAGCAAGCCTCGATACGCGCTTCGCGGAAACGCCCCCTCCATTACTCGACACACGCTCCGAAGCCTCGATACAGAACGTCCCATCACTACTTTAAGGGGCCTGAGTGGGTAGAGCAAAGCAGGAGCCCCCACCAGCCTGGAGTTACGGCGCTTTCCCTTCCCTCATTCAGCAGAATAAGTAAGATAAAGTGTAGGATATAATTTTGTGCCCACGTCTTTAGAGTTAAATCCACAGTTTAGTGTTTTGTCCTCAACTGTGGAAAAAAAATCATACTCGGTTTTTGCAGTTTAGTGTCTTCTGTACTTTAAAGCTTTAGTGAAAGCATGTTGATGTTGTGTAGCCACACTTCTTTTAGCTTTAAACCTGCGATCATCAAGAAAGAAACAGAAAATTCACCCACTGATCACTTGAAACTGTTCTTAGAGCCCCAAACTGATTTTGTTATCAGACACTGCGTTGGACGTTACTTTCTTTAGGAGCCTGCCTCAAGTGGCCTTTAGAGGAACTGCAGTTTTGTGGCACTTGCACATATCGGCTTCTGAGATTTTGATGCTTGGTTTTGGATTTAAATGGCCAGTCAGTCTGTAATCCACGTGTCTTTAGTCATGCTGGCATTGTGTTTAACATTTCTAGAACAATCTTGAACGTAGGGCAGGTTTCATTAAGGAGGAAGCATTGCTTACAGAGAACCAGACAGTGTGGTGAGCTTTTAATGACAGTCACTTAGGACTGAACAGATCTGGGGACTCCCTGAGGCTAACGGCTGGGCTTTTACCCTCGGGAACTACATACCTTTATGGACTTTTTCCTGTTATAATTCCCATTTAACAGGAATGCACACGTGATATATTACACATACCAACTAATTACAACTTGCAACAGCAGTGTTTTTTATGTGTTGTTGGGTTCGTGATATAGAGTTAAAAAAAGCATGGAGCCGCTACTCTGAGACAGAAGCTTCCTCCGTTAGACTCCATCTTCCAAGCTGAGAGGACAGACAGCTGCACAGGACACATTATCTAACACCTACTGAGTGAAGAGAGCATCTCTGCTTGGGTTAGAGGCTTCACTCCCTCCGAGGCTACCCACACTATAAATGTGTGCTGTCATGGCAATGCAAGGCTGCCCGGAGGCGGATGTTGTTGTGATCGCTGCGTTTTCTTTAGGATCTCATTGAAGAGAAAGCGATAGCTGCAGTGGCCACAGCTACACAGTGTGCCGCCGATTTGATCTGTGAAAGTCCAGCTTGAAAGCGAGCTGAGGCTTGAACGATAAACATATGCTTTTCTCACAGAGAAAATCATCTCTGGCCCTTAGTCCAGATAATTTACCCGCCTCATCAAACGCATTGTAACTATAGAAACAAAGTGCAGTGCGTCATACTCTGAAACGCACACACGGTAAAAAGAAAAAGTGAATTCCCCACAATGTGCAGCCGCAGGTTTAATTGCTACAGGATTAGTTTATATTGACTTCATTACCCTGGTGAATTTATGGCCACTTGGTGGCAGAAAAGCAGCACAACCAAACTGAATTACCACGTCTAGTTTTTATGGCTAATGAGTCTGCAACACGCAGCGTCCTCAAAGACTCAAATATGAAGTAAAATTTCAAAGACAAATATTGCAGTTTCTTTAAAGGCTACGGAGCCCCCCAGGGGACATGGGAGAAAAAAAAATTAGGGAGGAAAAAAAAAATTAGGGAGGAAAAAAAAAAATTAGGGAGAAAAAAAAATTAAGACGGACTTTTGCGAGATCTCGCAAAAGTATTGCGAGATCTCGCAAAAGTATTGCGAGATCTCGCAAAAGTATTGCGAGATCTCGCAAAAGTATTGCGAGATCTCGCAAAAGTATTGCGAGATCTCGCAAAAGTATTGCGAGCGCTCGCAAAAGTATTGCGAGATCTCGCAAAACTTCAACAATGGTGGCAGCTACTTAGTTGTAATATTACTCTTTCTGGGTCACAAAATACACTTTTAAGATATTTTGAGGCGTGAATGTAGTTGTGTAAACGTCAGATACCTGCTCGGTTTACAAGACATCACATATTTGCAAAAGTGCTCCGACGTTTTTGGAGATCTGACACCCACTAGTTCGAAGCTAACGGGAGGTCGAGACCTACTACAGCCGGGAGGAACACCGCTTTCCCGGCACATCGTGCCTCGACCTCCCGGTCGGCTTCGAGCTGGCGGCCACTAGCTCGAAGCTAACGGGAAGTCGAGACCTACTACAGCCGGGAGGAACACCGCTTTCCCGGCACATCGTGCCTCGACCTCCCGGTCGGCTTCGAGCTGGCGGCCACTAGCTCGAAGCTAACGGGAAGTCGAGACCTACTACAGCCGGGAGGAACACCGCTTTCCCGGCACATCGTGCCTCGACCTCCCGGTCGGCTTCGAGCTGGCGGCCTCCGAAGAATGCGGCTAAAACTTTTGCGAGAGCTCGCAATACTTTTGCGAGCTCTCGCAAAAGTCCGTCCTAATTTTTTTTTCCTCCCTAATTTTTTTTCTCCCATGTCCCCTGGGGGGCTCCGTATAATACGACCCCTTTTTTCCTCCAGTGAATTATCAGAAAGCAGGTCAACAGACAGAGTCCCAGTTCATTTGTCTGTTCCTCTTTGTCACAGATCTTGAATTGCTGCCGTTTTGGTATTGAAGCTTTGAAAAATCCCATAATAGAAAAGAGTCTTTGTTACTTTGTTATCTCCTGTATTGATGAAGCTGTGAGGCCCCACCTCCATTTGCCTCATTATAAACTTTTCATAGTATAAAGGTAAAAGTTTCTGTGGCTGCAAGTTATTGTAATCTGCTGATCCTGAGAGGTACGGGTAAGACTTTTTTCCACATTTGATTATTTCTGTTTGCTTGTCTTTGTCTCTTCAGGTGTGATTATTGTACCCAGTGCCGGCGTGGGGATCGTCCTGGGCGGCTACATCATTAAGAAGCTAAAGCTGGGCGCTCGCGAGTCGGCCAAGCTGGCCATGATCTGCAGCGGCGTGTCCCTGCTCTGCTTCTCCACGCTGTTCATCGTGGGCTGCGAGAGCATCAACCTCGGAGGGATCAACATCCCCTACACCACCGGGTAAGGAGAAGCTGGGCGGGTGAAACCCGGGGAGGTGGTGGGTCGTGCTGCATCACAGCTGACGAGGAAGACCGACGTCACTTCGGCGTCAATGCCACTTCATTCATGTCTGAATTGAGTCTTTACACTGGGTCTGTGTGTGCTGTTCCTGCAGTGATGTGGTTGTGGAGGATGTAGAGAAACACTCAAAGGATGGAGGAGACAAAGACGAAGCTAAGAATAAACAGACAGAAGTAAAAGAAAATCAGACTGACTGAGGAGGAGGGTTAAAGAAACTGAGTAATGAAAGCGGCTGAAAGAGTGAAGTCAGCCAAATAGTTCATCTGGTCGTTTAAACACATGTAATCTGTTCCTGCCACTTTTCTCAGCCTTATTTCGTGTCCAACTTTGTGTAATGTTGACCTCGGCCCTGTTTTTATGAGCATCATCTTCGAGCCTCAAAAACATGAGAGGCAGCATCCTCCCTACCTGGATAATACAAAGTCTTAAAATGCAGTGAGGTCTCTGGATTCTGGTGGGCTTTGATTTGATTTCACACACTGTTTATTTACTTTGGTCCAAATCAGTCGATGAGTTTGTAAACGTGTAGATTTTCCCCATGATTTGGTTTCTTTTCACACAGAACAAACTCCATAGAACGTAGCGTTTTGTGGGAACGAACAGATGAACAGAATCAACTTTTGGAGGTACAGGAGGTGTTTAGCTCAAAGTTGGCTTGGCTCACGTTCACATCCCTAAACAAATTGCTCTGAAGTTTGTTAAGACATGACTGAGACCTCCTCCAAAGGATCTCTGTGGATGTTTTCATCAGCACCAGAGTGATGACTGTGTTCACACCTGCATCTGTGAACCGCACCGAGAGGAAAAAACAGCCCAGAGTTTGATTTAAACAGACTAAACAGCGCAGTGTGAAAACACACTGATAACAACACAAGACATTTTGTGACAAAGTTTTTCTGTGTGGCGGAAAAACTAAACATCCAAACACCAGCCTACAAGCAGACAAAGCTCTTGCAACGTGCATTCTTGCACTTTGAAGTCATGTCCAGGACATTTATTACAGCGTTTTGTTGGCCGATATTTGTGTAAAGGACTGATGTACTGCCTGTTGCTAGAGGCAAAGACCAAAAGTACATCTGTACAAGAGGTGGGCGATGGATTTTCTGGATCTGTGAATGGTTCCCCTGTAAGGCAGGCATCAAACTTAGTTACAGACACGGAGAGTCACAGACGCCCTGCACGGGTCATCATTCCTGTTACAGTTCACGTAACGTCCAACTGAAGGATGCACGCATAGTCGGTGGCACTAGCATTTGTCACTTGGACCAGAGTGGATCCTAGAAACGTCTTTAAGACTAACAGATGTTTAAGACCTCTGCCAGAAAACAATGGCGATGTCACGTGATCCGAAGGCTTATGCTGCCTTCCTTGTACCTCACAGGTTATAGGTCGGATTTGGAAAAACGGGCGGTGACTTGCTCTGAAGATGGAGCCATTCAGCCATCAGTGCAGCGCCTGAGTACAGCACAGTGTATATATTTTTTCTCAGTCTAATAATACAGCTGTAGCACGTTCACTGATAGAATCCAGTCGGTTCTCTGTATAAGACTTTTTTGCCTAGCTGCAAATACTGTGTGAACAGTGAACACAAAGTTCAGCAGTTATACTTCCAACTTTGCACTTGAGATAGAAAGCAGCATTAACTCAGTCGGTGTCCAGACTGAAAAGTACATCGTGGTTATAATATCATTATAGGCCCTGCTGCTTGCACTGACAGTGGCTGGTGTTGTAAGCAGGCTATAAATAGTTTAGTTTGCTTGTTTGCTAATGTTGCTGACATGGTACTGTAATGAAATGGTGCCTTCATGTGTCTTAAAGATGATCAACCAAACCTGGAGGGCTGGCTGATTGTGAAATGCTCTCTGAATGATTTCATTCAGCCCAGTTTGTCACTTATAACAGACTGTAACCATAAACCTCTGCTTTTCACTGTAAAGGGCATCTGCAGCTATTTCAGTACTGACTTCCAGTGACACAAAAATACATTTGTTACCTACAATCACATGAAGCAGAAAGTTTTCCCCTATTTCTTTTCTTCTAATTGTTTCCTGTCACCCGACTGACGTATCAGTGACGTCTGCTCCAAACTGGTCTGTTTGTTCGATCTTAAAAATTTAGAAAATGTCAGAAAAAATTGGCTTCACGGTTTTCCAGGTGACATTTTCAAAGAGCTTGTTTTATCTGACATACAAAAAGTCAAAACTCTTCCATTAAAAAAGGTAGAAAAAACCTCATGAACCTCAGGAATGTGTTGGTTTCTCAGCGTTATTATCTGTTCATTTCCTGTACTGCATTTTTTAGCATTATTCTTATTCAGAGAAACAGAATAACTTCTTGGCTGTTATTTATTTATTTATTTATTTACTAGGAAACCTTGGTGGGCATATCCTCCAGCTTTATAACTATATAGCCTTTATAACAGCTAGATGGTTACTGAAGACAATTAGCAGCAGGTTTATTTGTTGACAACATAATAGGAAAAAAAGAGATTTTATCCTTCAGAATAAAATATTTGGCTAATTTTCTTAAAATGTTATAGCTGCTGTAAACCGAACAAACTCAAATCTTTGACATGAAGCCATAATAAAACATCTTTTCCCCTGCAATCATCCCACACAGTTCTGAAGTTCATTTTTAGTCATGTTTTTAGAGGCGGCACAAGTTTTTGGCCAGATCTGCTCCATTCAAGTCTGCAGTTTCATCAACCTGACAGCCCTTAGTTGTTTTTTTCAGCACCTCCCCTGGTGTCGTTCTTTTGCTTCTCCTTCCAGATGTAAACTTGGAATCCTGACTCTTTCCCTTAAACCGCAGACATCCGTTTGCCGACTGCAGCGTGGCCTTTCTCCTGTTTAATCATTTCCCGGTCTGACCGAGTAGGTGGTAGTTTTCATCACCCCATCTGTGGCTCATGTCAGGGAGGAAGCGAATGTTCGGATGAGTGCAGGATAACAGATAACGAGCCAGTGAACGGAGGCGTTTTCTTTTGCACAAAGCGTCCCTGAGAGCGATTACATGGCAACCGTGGAAAATGTCCAAGGACAGCTTGGAAGAGAGGATCTTTGGCTGCGTGCCCTCTCTGTTTTCTCTCTCGTTTGTCCCTCTGGTCTTTTTTTATTTCCCTCTGTGAGTCTGTCTGTCGCTTTCGCCCTCCACTCTTCATGTTTAATTCTTTTCGATTCCCTCCCTTCTGTCTCCTTTTCCTCGTCCTCTCTCTGCTTTTTCCTCTTGTTCGTCTGTTGTGTTTTGATGACAGCTGCGTCCATCCAACCCTACTGCTTAACTTGTTGTGAACAAAATAGATCAGGACGTGCCAGCTTGGCACAAACCTTTACATGGACGAAGGAAAGAAGAAATGATTCGTTTTTCTACGTCTAGGACCAAGGCCACTGTGACCTGAAAACAGCTTGTTTTGCCCATAACTTAAGAATTCTAGTTTTTCTTTTTGGCTTTTCCCAAACACGTCAAATCGTCTGAGTGTTCAGTGAATTTCTTTATCTGTCAGATTTCTCTGAAGAAGATTTGTAACTTTTTCCTCACGCAGTGTCATCATTACTAAATAAAATAATGGAGAAATGTACCGAAAGTGCTCATTGAAAAGCTGTGATGACTTTTCCATCAGCCTGAGCTTTACTTTGATGCTGCTTATCAGTAATGTGTTAGACAAGCAGTCACTATGCGGATCAATGCGAGCAAGAAATGAGCTTTTACACAGTGTTTAGTGTAATGATGTCGCCTGTTAACAGACTGAATTTGACTTAATGCCTCTAAGTGCTGGGATTAATTTGTTTTCAGTGTTGAACACTCAGAAGTGGAATAGCTTTAAAGGAAAATAACTGTCTAATTAAAAAGGTTCTGTTTTCTCCCTTCAGACCTACACTCACTATGACGCAGAGGAACCTGACCGGAGGCTGTAATGTGAACTGCGGCTGTAAAATCCACGAGTACGCTCCGGTCTGCGGCTCTGATGGCATCACATATTTTAACCCCTGCCTAGCTGGCTGTGGCAGCGTGGCCAACGACAGCACTGGGGTAAGAGGCCACGATACCTGTGTCTTATTTTTTTTAAATGTTGACACTAAAACATCTTAAATTCAGTCTAAGATGTATTTTAAATGTTTTGTTTCACTATTTTCTGCCCACGGCACGTGGTTTTCTCAGCTTGACTGTTGCTATTTTCAGCTCATGCAGCTCCGTCCTCTCATCCACAGGCAGGTCGCGGCAGATGGCCGCACCCCCTGAGCCCGGTTCCTCCTGGAGAATACTTCCTGTTAAAAGGGAGTTTTTCCTTCCCACTGTCACCAAGTGCTCGCTCATGTTAACTGGGATTTTTTTTCTGTATTATTTTAGCAATTTACCTTAAAATATAAAGCGTGTTGTTGTGATTTAGCGCTACATAAATAAAACTGAATTAAATTAAAGGATCAATAAGCTCATAGCAGAATTGCTACTCCACCTACAGCATTGGTCCAAATTTAATCAAACTAGCACAAACTAAAGGTCACGTATGTCATTTTTACTGGCAACAACCTCTGAACTGTGATGGAGTTTGGTGATGTTCTCAAACAGTCATGTTTGCTGGGTTAGCTTCTTTAAACCATTCAGCTTCTTTTTAAAATTAGAAACAGGTTCTAATTTGGTATATTAACTGATGTAGAAATTCTATTTTTCTGTTCTTTTCAAATTAATAATTGCATTTAGACAGTGTTCTTGAACTTAACTGTTACTTTATAAATAATTTCGAAGTGAGATGGAAGAAGGTCTTAGTTTAGATGTGCTTTTCCCTCAATATTCATTTTAAAAGGATCCTCAGTTTAACTTGTTTGAACTTGTAAACACTACGGGGTAGTAGTAACCTGGACACTATCCTGGCGTTGTATATGTGTGATTTCAAGGCCAAAAACCAGAAGATTTTAATAATTTTGGCAAAAGAAGCAAAATGTTACCAAAAAGTTCCGTTTAATTCATTTTGTTGTTATTATACAAGCAAAGCCAACACAATGATATATGCAGTATTAATATGTAGGTGCAGCGCAACACAACACAGTAATGACACGACACAGTAACATAATAGAAAAGCAAAAACATAAAATGATATAAAAGCGGATAAAATAAATAAAAAAAATCATGTAGATTAATATAAAGAAAATAAAATAGCAGATTAGTGTCTTATAGGTAATCTGTTGTTACTGATAAAGTGTCAGAGTGTGGCAGGTTCTGATCCAGTGATTATGTGTGTTACAGTGTGTGACTGAGTTCAGTGCTTATGGTGCACATGATTGGAGAGACAGATTTACAGGCCGGGAACAAAAAAATCTGTTCCTGAGCCTTACAGTGTGAGACACTGGTACTGTTTCACACTCAGTGGGGGATCAATGTTGAAAGGGGGAGTGGGGTCATAGTTCATGTTACACGCATGCAAGGTAAAGCGTTTCAGGTAGCAGTCTTTAACGGCATGTAGCGGGTGCCAACAGGACGCTCTGTTGGTTTCACTAACTGCTGCAGGTGCAGTGATTGTACCAAGCTGTTGTGCAAGATGTTACCGTGCAGTGGTAGAAGCTGTCCAGATGGAGCCTTTTCAATCTCCTCAGGCAGTGGAGGCATTGTTGTTGCTTATCAGGAAGTATATAGAGACCATGTCAGGTCCCCAGAGGCATAGAGACCAAGGAACTGAAAGCTCGTTATGTTCTCAGCTTTACCCTGTTGTAGATGGGGCTCTGTCTACCTTTTTTGGACTTTCTATAACATTAAGATCAAGGTTTTTGTTTGAGTCAGCAGATGCTGGATCTGCCCTCTGTAGGCCATGTCGTCATTATTAGACGGAGGCACTCGGATAGGTTTGAAAGAGTAATAAAAGGCCTTTATTTTCCCAGTGCTAAAGACATTCTCACTTCTTTTTAGCAGTTACATTAATGTCTAAAGTAATAACATTATGAACCATGTATCTAAACTTCCATACGTATCTTCATTTGCCCTCCAGATCCGAAACTACTCCGACTGCGCCTGCGTTCAGAGCCGGCAGGTCATCACGCCGTCGACTGGCAGTCAGGGCAGCAACCAGCTGCAGCTCGTCATCGTCAAGACCTACCTGAACGAGAACGGCTACGCCGTATCGGGGAAGTGCGACCGCACCTGCAATACGCTCATCCCCTTCCTCATCTTTCTCTTCATCGTCACGCTCATCACTGCTTGCGCTCAGCCCTCCGCCATCATTGTCACCCTCAGGTACGCCTTTATGAATCACTCACTGTGAGGAGGATGGGATGTCAATGTTTTGTTCCAACTAAAAGTCGTCAGCCTCTTTGGTTTTTAAGTACCGGTAACTGCCTCTCTGCAGACCAGGTGTTCTTATCACCTTTCTGAGAAAAAAAGAAACAATTTTCTATTTTTGTAGGAAATGAGTTTTCAAAAATAATCAAAAGTGGTGGAAAAGTTGAAGAAACTTTACTGACTGTAGACAAACTGTGAGAGTAAAGGCGACACTGTTGACTTACTGGTTGATCTACATTCCCTCTCTTACCTTATGGACAGCTGGCCTGCAAGGAGCCAGTTGAGATGGTTTAGGCATATGAACAGGATGCCTCACGAGCGCCTCCTAGGTGAGGTGTTTTGGGCATTTCCCATTGGGAGAAGACCCCTGGGATAGTACTGGGATAGTGCTGGCTTGGGAATGCCTCAGTATTCTTCCCAGATCAGCTGGAGAGGTCTGGGCATCTCTTATTAGACTGATGATGTGACGATGAATTTGAACGTGAACATTTCTTCTTTCATCCAAGTGGCAGTACTATCAAACTGTGATTTCCAAACTTTATCAACTCAATTCCCACAAAGTCTTTGAACTGATTTGTCTGATGGAAATGTATGTATTTGATAGATATTTCTGAACATTCGACAAATAAAAATGTTAACATCATTAAAGGATTCAGGCATGGGGCCATTTTCGATTTAAAAATGGATAAGTGGGTCTTTGTTAAGTAGATTTGTATCACGCAGTAGGACAGTCAAGTAAGATGAACATAATAAAGCCAAAAACACAGATATTTGTTGTGAATGAGCAGAATTGTTGCTGAATCACGTCTAAGCTGATCAAGTCTGCCGGCATCAGTCTTGTTATCTTTATCTGATAACAAAGCTCTCCTGCTCTCATCCAAACATGGTGACGTCTGTGTGCAGAGTCAGCAAACTTTAGAGTTTTATCAGAGTCGACTGGTGAATCCCCGCCCTTTTAATGTCCCTGTAACCCACTAAGATTAAAGGTAATTTGGCTAATGCTTGAAAAAAGCTGTAAACATAAACATGGTTATGTGCCGTCTGTGGTGAAAACACTCTTAGCCAAGTCCACAGATCAGTTCCCATCCATTTGGTTCATTTTTACTTTTGCTTTTTTTTTTTTAAGAATTAACCGTTTTATTTTTCATAAATATGGCCGTGAAGCTTTTTGTTTCTTTGGAGGATTTTATTGCATATTACAGACCAAGAGGTTGCACAACAGGCATGGATGGTGAATATTTATTCGAGTTGTGAAGTTTGACTGTGTGTGGTCTCAGAAATGTTTTAGATGCAGGCACGATGCTTGGAAATAAATCTACATTCACGGAAACACAGAGTTGTGTGTTGTTATCACTGAACAAACACTTAAAATTTCAATTTTCATTGAACAAACACTTAATTTTAGCGATTCAACTGTAATATTTAACATTAGCTTAGGCAGTTGCTTTATTTGGTTCTATCATCCTCTGTTTCTGCCTTCCTCAGTCACCTGTCTGTGTGTTGCAGGTCTGTAGCGGAGCAGGAGCGGCCGTTCGCTCTGGGAATGCAGTTTGTCCTCCTCAGGACTCTCGGTGAGTAGAACCGGAAAGCACAGAGCTGCTCGTCTTGTTTTATTTTGCCATGAAATTAAATAGAAAAGCAGAATATCAGCAGTGTTATTTGTGGAGCTCGATGGAGAGATGGGCTCACTGCTTGTAAACACTCGGTGCCTCCTGACTCACGAGATGTTTTACAGATTTTTAAAAAGTGGCAGTTATCCTGAATGAGGAGGAGTCAAAGGAGGTGAATTATATTTGATGCATGTTCAGGGAGCTGCTGTCAGTGTAAGTTATTTAGAGGACAGTTAGAAACTGTGTTTGGGGTTAATCAGGTGGTGAGGATTATGAAATTTATGAAATCCAGGATGGCACTTCTCATCTTGTGCTGCAGTTTCTCACAGCAGCTCCTGCAGCTTTATTAGTGTCTCACCTCAATGAGACAGCTGAGAGCTCACGTCTGTTCTGGGTTTTTTTTTTGTTTAGTTTGTTTTTTTTTACCTCCCTTGACCTCTTCTTTCCCTGTTTTCTCTTCCATGTCATCGTTTTTTTCTTTCTTTCTGCTCTTTCCATCTCCTTTTCTGTCCACTCTCTCGTTCTTTGCCCCGCCTGATTTCTTCTTCTTCTCTTTTTTTACTCAGCCTACATCCCGACTCCCATTTATTTCGGGGCCGTCATCGACACCACCTGCATGTTGTGGCAGCAGGACTGCGGCGTCCACGGCTCCTGCTGGGAGTACGACGTCACTTCTCTGCGCTTCGTGTACTTCGGCCTCGCTGCTAGCCTCAAGTTCCTTGGCTTCTTCTTCATCTTCCTCACCTGGTACTCCATTAAGTACAAAGAGGAGCGGGTAGAGCGCTGGCTCAAGCGCCACCTGTCGCCCGTCGACACCGTGGGCAGCCTCGTCTGCCACCCCGGCGGCCACAAGGGCCACGCCCGCACCCGATCCTGTCCCGTAAATATCCCTCGAACCGACCCCAACGCTCTGCCTGCTAATGCACCGCCGCGCGCCGGCACCCTGAACCGTGGCGTTAGCACCCAGAGCTGCCCCGGCCAGGAGCTGAAAGCAATAACTCCTCCTCCGGCAGCCGCGGCTGCACCTTCACCCGCAGCGGCGCCCAGCCCCGCACCTGCCCAATCACTGGAACACGTCTCAGTCCGAGTCTGAGCTCCAGATCGGGGCCAGGCGACGAGGCAGGTCTCTTCCACTGACATCTTGTTTCTCCAGTCAGCTGGGTTTTTAGCCGCTGTCAGGAACACCAGTCACAACACGGATGTCCCGCTCGCATCTCAAATCTCTGATTAGCTGGTGAAACACTGGTAAACTACGTGGACCGAAAACCTTCAGGTAGACCTCCACTTTGTCCAGACCAGGTGGAAATCTCTGCTCGGTTCATTGAAATGCAAATGGAAGCTTGGTTTCCTTTGAGATGGAAGACAGTTCATCGCTTATAAGCCCCCACCTCCACACTCCACCTTGGCAATGTGTGCCTTCTGTCACCACGATCCTCACATTAATAGTACAAAACACACTGGAAGCCCCTCACACACAGACTGGTCACCTTGTAGGAGTCACCTGAACAGATACCTCAGCTTCGCTAACCTCTCCCTTCAGCTTCACCGTCGCCTCACGTCTGCGTGCTTCATCCTCATTTGCGATTTTCTTTTGAGCCATTTTTGTTCTTGTATCAGCGCTTTCACTGGAAAAAAAAGAAAAACCTTTGGAAATGTGACACACAACCGTTAAAGAACTGGAAACCGATGGCATGGTGCTATGTGAAAAACAGCGTCCTTTTTTAAAATCTTTTTTTTTTAAAAAGAAAAAACCCAACAGGTCACTGGGCTAAGCAGCTTGGCATGCACAGAATGCCTTCCTCTTCGATGCAAGGCCTTTTGTTGCTCCCCTGACACAATGACACGCAGTATTACTGCTGAAAGTCGGATTGTTTTGGCTTTTTCCAGCTCCATACAATGCATCCATACATCCGGGCCTCCGACTGGCACCCTGTGATAAGCAGCTTAACCTGGGAAGAAAAAAAAAAAAAAGAGGATCGGCATTTTCCTCCTGACCACATTCCCGGCGAGCCAGCGGCGGATTCTCCGAATAAACGACTGGAAGAACGAGGAAAGAAACGGACTACATTTCAGGCTCAGTGACTTCCGTCCACTTTACTAACAGCAACTCTAACATTTGTACTCAACATGTAGGATGGCGAGTAGTCGACCATCACGTAGAGGTCATAGTGTAGTCATCTGTTCCCTTTGTCTGCTCCAGAAATGAAAGCGGCGTCTGCAGATGGAAACTGTATGAATGCACCTTGATGGTTTAATATGAAACACTAGTCCTGGTGTATTATGGGTAATGACCTGCTCGTCTGCCAGAATGTGATGTGTGTTGCGTTTGATAGGTGTAAGTCGCAGCCAAGTGAGGAAAAAATAAGAAAATAAGGCATCAGTTTGCAGAATGGTTAGGTTGTTTATTGAGAAAGTAGAGAAAAGGTCACAGATTCCTGATGGAGTGCAGCTAATGATCGTTTTCTTTGATCTAAAAAAAAAGTCAAACAATGTAAATCAACAGTTTTTCTGAGCTCAAATTTTTTTGTTCAACCCCGAAACCCAAAGATGTTTTTAGCAATATGAAAAACTGAAACGCTTAACCTATCAAATGTGCAAGTCCAATTAGGCTCATTTCCAGCTCTACTGTTTTACTCTTGGACTCGACTAGAGTAGCTTTGCATGACTCACAGTTTAAAATAATCCTCTTTTAACTCATACAGGCCTTTGTTCAGTCCCTCAATTCGTCTACTGTCCCAAACAAGCTCTTTTAATATTTTACACCAGTGGTTCTTAAACATTTTCAGGCCTGATCCTGTTTTCACCTGTCACTAAACCATCTTTTGTCAATTACTAACAACAAACGTAGGGTCTTGATCTAGAGTCAATGCAAGAGCATAGAAAAAAAAGTACCACTGCTTTAAACCTGCTTTCTTCTGGTTGGCTGCCCCTCACAAACAGTAGGTTTGAGCAGGAGGGGGTGGGGCTTTGGTCTCACACCCAGAGTGGTGTTGCCTGAGATGACAATAGTAGGGACTTCCCAGCTCACTCACTTAAATATTCACCATTAAAACAGCAGACATTTAAAGTAAGGATAACAGCTCGACTTTAAAAGACGTGAAGCGCCAGTTTGAACCTCAGACGTTGTTTTTTCTTTTGGCAGTTTGGTGTAACAGATTTAGTCGTTAAAGGTCAGAATAAATTTTGCTCCATTTATTATGACATTTAAAAAATATAACATTAAACTCAGCAGCAGTCGTTTTTTGGTAGACGTTTTCTGATCGTGTTCTGTGAAGGAAAAGTTGCACAACTGCTACTAAATGCACTGAAAAGCAAGCAGTCACCGTATTTGGAAAGTTTTCAACAAGAAGCCTCAACAAAAATAAGTAAAAATGACCAATCTGAAGAAAACACAACCCAATAACAGAAAAATTAGACCTTTTTTTTTCTTGTTTGTTTTGATTTCAAAAGTAACAGTTAAGTCATATATTTAAAGCTTGTTTTAAAATTAGTTAGTGGTTAAAGTAGTTAAATTTTTGATTTAGCAGCCCAGTGGAAGCAAATAAACACCATCACTTTTATGTTTTTAATTCTACTTTACACTAAACAAACTGTGGAACTGAAGTGATTCTTAACAGTGATGAAAGCTCAAAAAGTAACAAGTTTAATTCCTAAAATGTTTTAATAGTTTTGCAATAAATGAATAGTATTAGTAAAAGTAAATCAATAACATTTGTCGGACACTGTCAGTGCGCACAGTGATGGGACAAACTTTTTGATCCCGAAAACAATTTTGCTCCAAATTTTTTGGATTCTTTTAAATCCAGAGATTACATTTACAAAGGAAATATTTTTGAACCTGTACCACCATGTAAGCCATGTTTGTGTTTTGTACATAAACAGTTGGATGAGGATTTGCTTCCACTGTGGCTGCAGGCCAAAACTTTTCTCCTCAGTCTAGAAACCTTGAGGGCATTTCTGAGCTTTAGGAACAGAAATATAAATTTAGATCAGTGTCAGAGCTTCTTTCCTCTTGGCTCTCTGTTTACAGCTCGTTACACATCCGTGTTTGTTTTTCCCTCTGAAAACTCAAACCTCACAAAAACACTGTGTTTGGATGTCGAGGTGCGATGCCCGTGGAGGCTCGATGTTACATGTGCTCTTACTGTACACGCGCAGTTTCATCGATCGCTGTCCTGTGAGGACACCTGCTGGGCAGATGTGTACCAGCCGTCCGACACACACATCATGTCCCAAACCAACCGAAGAGAAAGACGATCAATACTTGTTACATGCGAGACAGAGAACAAGAACCAAAACAGTATTTTTGTGTGTCGACAGCACGGTTGGTGCCTCATTTTGTCCCGGTGTTTTTACTTTTGAGACCTCAGATAAAAGCAGCTCTGATATTTAATGCTGAGCATTCAAACTGGGCAAACTTTAAAATGAGATGCCTGACCATCACTCCTGAACCCCAGAAAGTTTACACTCATTTAAAGCCACCTGTTTCATTTGCTGCACGGTTTGAGCTCCAGCAGGTGAAGGACAATTTTTAAAACATTTTCTGGCGTTTAACCTCTTTCACCAAACTAATAAAAACGTAATAAAAGGAGCTATTTAAGCAGTAAGACTTCAGACAGATACGAACAGGTCGACTTGGGCTGTATTTTTATGCGTTCATCAAAGATTCAGTAAAAGGACTCGATGTTACAGTCCCTGACAATGCATTGCTTTAAATGGAGAAAATCTTGAGTGATGGCTGTTATGAGGAAAAGCAGCCCAGAAACTTGACCAGCGGCACACATCGTTGTGTGCCTAAACTTTCGTTCTTTTACCCAAGCTAATCTGCCCTTTTTCCTTGGTTAGATTTAAAGAATTTAAAATTCAAAATAGTTAAACTCAAAGGTTTGAGCAAGTCTAGGCATACCTGTAAAAAGAGAACAGTTGCTCATACGTTTACGTTATACCTGCATTATTGACACAGTATTGTCACTTCATTGTAATCGTCAATACACGGTTATCATGAAACTCATAACAGCCAACAAACAATCGATCAGTCGACCCTTGTTTTTGTTTACAGTTAATGCATTAATATTATTATTATTATCATTATTATTATTGTTTTACACGTGCTTCCTATTTTGTTCCCCTCAGAGAGTTGCGGTGCATCTTGTGCAGCAATAGGATAAAAAATTAAATTCAAGCTAGAATATTTCAAGATGAGGCGCGTGCTGGAGCTGATGACTGACTGGTGAGCTTTAAGGGTTCAGTGATGTTAAAAAAGATTCTTGTTTTAATTAAAGTGATTATCATGGTTGAACAGGTTAGAGCTCATGTCTGATGCAATAACATGTTTCTGTAATGTTAGAGTGACAATAATCACACATAAGAAACGTCGTTGGGACAAAAAAGAAAACGCACCACTTCTCAGTAAATGGAAGGAAAACTTGACGCACGATTCCAGTAGAGAAAGTAGAGTAGAATCAAATTTCAGCACATCATTCCATTTTCATGTACAGCGAGAACAACTAATACAAATCTCACCCGTGTCCGTCTGTGTCGTGTTAGAGATGCTCGTCCATCTGTTTAACATTTAACAACCAGAACATCTGCTGTTTCAGTTTGTCCATGCAGCGCTGCGGTTTAGCTGCAGGTGGCGCTGTTTCACGTCTCAAACGACACTGGGGGGGATGAACTGCTGACACCAGTATTTCTTGATGGCTGGCTTTTTTTTTCCCCTTTTTGATACCACACAAAAAGAAAATGGGAAGTTTTTATTTAACAGGAGGAAAAGGTGCGTTTATTGGGGACTATTTTTCATGGCGGATTAGTCAACCTGTTACTTTTGGGGCAGCACAGTGATGCATGTGGGAGTGGGTCTGTGCTCATGGTAATAAAGGAACATTTCAGTCGTCTTTGGACAGCGGTGCAGTGCTGTTAGGAGGAAGTTTGTGGCTTTCTGGGTGTCGTACAGCTTAATAAACCTTGTAATGAGGCACACAGGAAGCCTCCTAATCCTCCACCTGGACCACCTGATGCACTGATAGATATTCTGTAATCTTTATAATGAAGCTGAAAGCTTTTTAAGGGGTTCAAAGGTCCAGAAATTCTCACTTCTCATTCTAGCCGCACATAACCAGCCGTGCACGTGGTGTCAGTATTTCATCCTCCGGCTTCAGGATTTTACCACATCGAGTCGTTTACCTCCGTGTGTTGCTTCATATGTGGCATCATTTCCAGACTGTGACTACAGACAAAGACTGAATCTTTACGAGCTCCTTCAGGCAGATGTAGGTTTTACCTTCTTGTTTTTTTTTTAAAGAAAAAAAAACAATCAGTATTGTATTTATTTCCAAACAGTGTTTTTGAATGACTGAACGATCGCACTGATGAGAGGCAACATGTAGATTTGTGGATGCACTGTTTACAGATGCCTTGGTTACTTGACTTCTGTCAATAAAAATGTGAAGAAAAAAATTAATAAAAGAGAATTACAGAAACTGCTGCTTTGTGTTTCTTCTTCTGTCTGCAGTCGTTTATCTGCCGCGTTCCCTCCAGCTGGTTTATCTTAACAGGAATTGAAACACAGAAGAATAACAATAAAAAACAACCCAATGAGCACATGTGGTTTTATACATTTCTTATATGTTAGATTTCTGTGGTTTGCATTGGCTGCCTATCAAATACCGTATTCAAATACCGTATTCAATTTAAAATTTTGCTGCTTACTTTTAAAATTATCAATAATACTGCACCAACCTATCTTAAGGAACTTTTAAACCCTTATGTCCCTGCCAGGGCTTTAAGGTCATCCTCGCAGTTATTGTTAGTTCAGCCCAGATCTCGGTTGAAATCTAGAGGCGATCGATCGTTTGCCTTTGCTGCACCTGAGTTATGGAACAGCCTCCCGATTGGCATTCGGGAGTCTGATTCTATTTTTTCTTTTAAAGCACGCCTTAAAACTTATCTTTTTGAACTTGCCTTTTCTACCCGTTAAATGCTGACTGTTAACTGCGACCTATTGCATTAACTTTTTACTATTCCTTCATTCTTGGTGTTCTCTATCATGCGGCACTGGGTCTGCTATAATCTATGTGCTGCAGTCCATTTTATTAGTGGCTTTCTACTGTGAAACATTGTCTGCTGTTCTTATTATATTTGATATTAATGCTCTTAACTGTATTATTTTATTGTTTTTTTTGTAAAGCACTTTGGTATGCCTAGGCTTTTAATGTCAAGTCAAGTCAAGTCAAGTCACCTTTATTTGTCAATTCTGCCACATGTACAGGACATACACAGAATAGAAATTGCGTTACTCTCAAACCCTAGTGATTAGAAAAATGCAAATAAAATAATTAAAAAGTAAAAATTTAAATAAATACAATACAATTTTACGTATAACAAAAAAAAGCTATGCAATATACAATATACAATATTCAAGTAAGAAGGCATAGTGGTGCAAAATAGGCAAATAGTGCAATGGAGATTTAGTAATGTACGGTAAGAGATAGTGTAACAGCAAAGTCTTATGAGGTAATGGCAGTCCAATGCTCCACAAAGTGACTGGAGCAGGCCAGTGAGTGCGTCAGAGAGTGAGTGTGTGTGTGTGTGTGTGACAGAGTTCAGTGAGACCGTGGTGGAGAAGAGGGGAAAGGGGGGCAGAATCGGGAGGGAGTTTAGCTTCCTGACAGCCTGATGGATGAAGCTGTCCTTCAGTCTGCTGGTCCTGGCCTGGAGACTCCGCAGTCTCCTCCCTGACGGCAGCAGCTTGAAGAAGCTTTTGTGCTCTATAAATAAAGGTTGTTGTTGTTGTTGTTGTTGTTCTTTAGATGTTATTCTGGGTTCTTTTGTGACCTGGATGAGTCACTGGTAGCTTCTTGGAAAGTTCACCTCTCCGTTGTTCACTGGAGCCCCAAAGCCTTACAAACATTTGCAGACTAATAGATGCCAATAACTTTGTAATTGTTCTCATAAGTGTTCTTGAGCGTCTTTACATCGTGGTGTGATGTTTGTTTTTCTGAGCTTTTAGCCTGCTTCACTATGACAGACAGGTTCTGTTTGAGTGATTTCTGGATTTCTAACAAAATCATCATTTATAAAACACTTTTTTACTTACTTGGGTTATTTTTTTATCTAATATTAAAATTAGTTTGATCTTAAAATACAGGCCATATTAAAGAGAAATGGAAACTAGAACTAAATATTATCACTGATAATGTATGGGAAGAGATGTGTAAAACAAGGGAACAAGTAGTCAATTATGGAGAGTTTGACTGGAAATTTAAAATTAGATTTTTTTAAATACACCTCTTGTTATCTCCTCATATTGTAAGGAACCCAATGCAGAACTATGTTGGAGAAAATGTGGGGGAATAGGAGACGATTCACATATCTTTTGGGACTGTCCAATAATTCAAGGTTTCTGGATAAGAATCAAAGAAGAAACAGAGAAAATCAACCCTTACGTTGGGTGAGTGCTGAGTGTTTGTATATGTGTGCGTGAGGGTGGGAATGCATGTTTGTGTCTGTGTGTGCCTGTTTGTCTGTGTCTATATGTCAGGTCGGGTCTTAGACTCCACCTCTCTGGGAACTCCCAGGCCCTCCAAGGCCTGTCTCCCCTCACCACACTCCTTGCCGGTGACTGATGGGTTGGTGCATTGGTGGTTCTTGGTGTCATGGGCTGGGCATTCAGGTATGTACCGGCTCACTCCCGGTGGCTACCTGGCGGGGCCTGGCGCCTGTTGCTCGGTCAGGCCTCCTCCGGGGTGCGGGGGGCCCTCCGGCAGAGGGCCTCTGGGCCTGCAGCTCGGTTCACTCTGGCACAGCTGGCTGCCGGCAGAGCCGGCAGGCACGCTGGTGCAGCCCCCTCTAGCTTCTGCTCTGTGGCTACTGGGTGACGTCTCGTCTGGGGATCCTCAGGCCTTCCCATGAGGGTGGCACGGATGCCCCTCCCGTTGTCCTCCTTGGGCTCTCGCACTCTGAGGCCTCTGGATGTCTGGGGCCTGGATCTCCTCCATGCCTGCTTCATGCCCTGGGGGACGGGGCTATGGCTCGCTACATCCTCTTGCAGACCATTACATGTGGAAACCATTTGATGTTATCAGGGCCCTGGCTCTTGTTCACATTAACTGTATGAAAGGCCTTTTGGACATCGCTGAGTTCAGTGATGAAGTGTTGAGTATCTTTCAGTTTCTGTTTCAGTTCAGAAGAACTAAAACGAGCATCAAGCATATTCAAATCTCTGTCTGGCTTAAAACCGTCTACAATGATCTGACTGCTGCTCTGGGGATTTTGAAACCCTGATATGGTTTTCATACAAGTCCAGGCAGACCCAAAATTTTTTGCAGCAAATTTTCTTTCAAGAAGGTTTTTGTAGATCTGTTTTGCTTTCAAGAGCTGGATTTTCAAGTCTTTGGTGACTGCCTGAAAGTCAGTAACAGCCCCCTCTTTAAAAGCCTGTCTCTTTTTCCTTGAACAGGATTTGATGCATTTGGTGACCCATGGCTTATTGTTAGGGTACACTTTAGCACGCTTAAGGGGTATAATCATGTCTTTACAAAACCTGCATATGAGCTAACATCCACCAAAGCATCAAGACTGAATAAAAACTTCCCAATCTGTAAATTGAAAACATTCCTGCAAGGTAAGCACAGATTCTTCTGACCACATGATTGATTGATGATAACACAATTTTATCACCCCCCGAAAATTCATGTTCAAAGCAACATATCAGCCCGATATCACACAGAACTGTCACATGACATCAAACACGAGCTGTCAGCTCTGCAGAGTGGGCAATCATAATGAAGCAGTTCATTATAAGCTGCAGACTCAAGCTGCTCTTCATATATTTGTCCACCAGATGTCACCAAAGAGGACTGTGATGAAAGCTTCGAGTAATGAACCGTTTTTCATTACAAGCTTGGCCAACTGACTACAATCTACAATAAACTAATATGGCTTTTCAATCCTCTCTTCAATCACTTGGTACCACCAGGAACCTTTAAATGGGCACTCGAGCTGCCTGGAGACTGTTTTGTCGTGCACATCAGAGAAACCACAGGTAAGACAATCTTATCCAAAAGGTCAGTGTAACAGTATTGTTTTCCACCAGCTTAACCAAACTTCCCACACTAACTGAAATTTCTTTTCCCAGGCAAACATTAAACAGCAGCAGCCGGAAAACTGGAAAACCTAAAGCCAAATAATCAATAAAACATTACAAACTTTTGTATGAGTGAGTATTGATAAACTGAGCATAATTAAAACTCAGTGAAACCACATATAAGTTCTGGTAACTGGCACATATTTATGTTTAATATGTTGTTTTATATTTTGATCAGTTTCAGGTGTTTGTGCGACTGTGTTAACCATCAGTAAAACCACATATAAATCACACTTCTGTGTTTAACAATTACAACACTTGATGCTGTTTTTCTGATTCAGGATTATGTGTGTGATGAGTTGGCCACACAGTTCTTATCTTTCTGCTTCAGACACACACAAAACTGCCGAGGTTGAAGCTGGCTTCAGTCTCTTTCTACCCCAGGTCTCACCACATTTCCAAAATGTAAACTCTGAGTCTCATAAGAAATGTGGTTCAAAAAGATGTGCTGATCTATGAATGCATCCTTACTGAAAGCTAAAGATGTCCAGCAGACAGAAACAGCAGCTGAATGAACAGTTATCATGAGCGAGTGTACAAACACTATCACAGGAAATAACAGAAATAAACTGGAGTTTCCATTTATACCTGTAGTATTTTTTCAGCTCCATGTCATCTTCCAATATGTCAAAATATGATTTCATTGTATCTTAAACAAATACAAACTTCTTTCTTTTCCCAGAATTTAGACAAATGAACAAAAAATAAATGATTATTTATTTAGGTATTAAAATAGGAAAAATCAGTTTAAATTAGAGCACCATTAAAACAAGAAATTAGCACAGAAATGCCAAAAGACAAAAACAGAACAATAAAGTGTCTTTAAAAATGATTCAAAAACAGTTGTAGGAGCAGTTTTATGAACCATGTTCTGTTAATATACTGACTAACCAGCAGCAACACTCTGACTCAGTGTTTCCATCTGTGTTTATTTCCATCTTTACAGTCAGGCAGAAACATCTCACAGCAGCTGGAAAAACCAGTGAGCACACTTTAGAGGAAAAAAGTGAAAGTTTATGTTCAACTGTAAAATATTCTCTGTAATGTAAATTGTTCTGCTCTCTGACAAACCATCAGAGGTGCAGCACGTGTATCATTTGGTGTTTGAAGCAGAAACAAAAGCAAAGAGTTAAAGGAAGACACATTTGAAGAAGAAGGAAAATGAAAACAAGACGTCACTGAGCAACAACCTGACAGAACGAGAGCCAACAGTTTACTATCAGAACTGAGGCTGATCATTAACAGGGAGCAGCAGGTAACAAGGTCATCAGCAGTGGAGGAAAGTATGGAAGTAATACTCAGCTTCATATTTGAAGATACTCGAGTATCTTAGCT